CTAGACAACTTTCCCTCTAGCAATCACTTCCCTATTCTCCTTTTGTCTACTTCCTATGTCCCACTTCCCAATCCCCCTCGCTGGTGCTGTGACTGAGCTGACTGGCATACCTTTCCATTTCCCTTCTCTCTCTCCTCTACAGAATCTTATAATGTACCTTTTTCTTCTTCTGAAATATCTTATGCATTACAGTCATGTCGCAGTACCCATGAAGGCCCAGACAATCTAGAAAAGGCATATGATACTGCTTGGCGGCACCATATCCTTCAATTATCCTCCAATGGCATATTTGTCTCTTCTACTTCCTCTTCTTTCCCTCAGTTCGAAGGTGTCCCACAAGGCAGTGTGCCCAGTGCCACATTGTTTCCCATTGCTGTAAACGGATTAGTTTCAGCTCTACCACCAGGAATCCGGTTATCTGTGCCTCTGGTCCTTCCACACCAACCCTCCATCAGCTCCTCCAGTCCGTAATGATATCAATTTCGTCCTGGGCTGCCAGCGACGGCTTTCGATTTTCTACCTCTAAAACCTTTTCCATCCTTTTTTTCTCGTTCACGTATAGGCTCCCAACCTCCACTCTTCCTATTTGATGCTCTCATCCAATTCCGATTTTCAGGCAAGTTCCTTGGGGGTCATTTTTGGCTCCTAACTGTATTGGCGAGATCATATCCTCTCTGTTAAAGATTCTCTCCCATAACCTGGTGTTCAGACCACAAAACACTCCTTCATCTCCATTTTACCCTAATCTTCTCCATCCTTGATTATGTTGCCATATATATTCTTCCGCCTCTGCCTCTCTTCTCACTCAACTTGATACAATCCACTATTGCGATTTCCGTTTAGGTTTAGGTACCTTTCGAATCGCTCCACTTGAGAGCCTACACACTTAATCGGGCCTGCCATCTCTTTCTCGACGTCGCACTCTTTTGTTTCTTAGAAGTTATCTTGTTTCCATCAATTTTCTCTCTCCAATCTGTCCTTCAATCCCTTCTTCATACTTTCTCCTCCTCTCGATGTTTACCTACCCCTTTCCTGGTTCGTATGGACGTTCTGCTTTCCCATTCACCCATTCCTCATCTCCGATCCCTTCCCCTTTCTGTCCAATATTTCCCTCTCTGGCTAATTCCTTCCTCCTGCAATTATTCTTCTATTTTCCCTGACCTACCCAAATTAAACATCCCACCTTCTATCCTCATCACACATTTTCATATAAATATCTCTAGTCACTTCTCCAGTACCCGTGTCTATACAGACGGCTCCAAATCCACCTCGGGTACAGCTTTCGCAGAAGTCTTTCCCTCTCGCTCATACAACTTTCCCCCTTCCCCCTGAATCGAGCGTCCTCACAACAGAGCTCTATGCTATCCTTTTCGCTTTACAACGCATCCATCTCTTCCTCATCCTTCACCATCTTCATTGACTCACACAACTCAATATCACTCATCCAATCTATACACCCTGTCAACTCTATAGTCCGTAAAATACACAACAGAAAAAAAAAACTAAATTTTGTTGGATGCTACCCATATCGGGATCCCCGGCAGTGAAAAAGCAGCTCCTTGGCTTGATCCGTTGCCCTGTCCACAACCCAGGAACCCGCTTTTCACACATCCAGCCACCGACTACTACCCTCACTTCAAAACATTCCTCTATAACCGCTGGCAATCTTTCTGATCAGATCTGACCACCAATAAACTACAAACCATAAAAGCTTGCATCTCTCCACCGGAACAGACGCTGGGAAACTGCGAATAGGTCACACGCGCCTCACTCATTCAACCACCTCCCTGCTCCTCATGTAATATTCCTTTCTCAGCCCCACGTATCCTACTTCCTGCCCTCGATTTACTGACTCCTTTACCCTCGTTTTTCCTTACTTGTCCTCTCTTCCCCGACCCCCCAACTTGACAGACATCCTCACGGAATCCCCTACCTTTTCAACAGACAACCTAATCTTCCTCAGACGCATAAATATCCTCCATTTGATCTAAAACCCTTTATCCTAACCCATCTACTTCCTCTCTTACCGCCCTTCAACTATCATACCATCTTATACCATGGCTGTTGAAATGTGTTCTAATGAAGCTCCTTTAAACCCTATTCACCCTAATATTTTGCCCTAGTGCTATATGGCCTTTGATGTCTGGCACATTTATTTGTTTAAAGCATCAGTCATTAGAAAGAGGTCTTAAAGGTGAGTATACACACACACACACACACACACACACACACACACACACACACACACACACACACACACACACACACACACACACACACACACACACACACACACACACACACACACATATATACACACACACACACACACACACACACACACACACACACACACACACACACACACACACACACACACACACACACATATATATATATATAAATACACACACACACACACACACACACACACACACACACACACACACACACACACATATATATATAAATACACACACACACACACACACACACACAC